ACCACACATGCACACCACACACATCACACATCACACACGTGCACACCATACATACACATCACACATACACACACCACACACATACACACAATATGCATACCACACACATGCAACGTGTGCCACATACATATACATATCACACATGCATACCACACACATGCATACCACACTATGCACCACACAGCATACCATACACATATACACGCCACACAATACACACCACACACATACACATACATATAACACACATAACGGACACAACCCCCCCCCCCACACACATACACAGCACACACACTCACTCACTTTGAGAATCACTGCTAGTCTCTGTATTTCCCCCCTAGAGATCAGCACACAGACAGCACCTTCCTTCCCTAGTGGTGGGGAGCACGCCCCAAGAACATGGCTCCGCAGCCTGATGCACTGCTTTTTCAAGGTGGCTGACCCCTGGCCCCCCCCGGGTAGTTTTATTGACTTCCCCTTTCCCTTTAACTGCTTTGCTTAAGGACGATTTTTTTCAGGCTTGTCATTCTAACTTGCCTCCAGGCTCCCTAGAAAAAAGGGGAAAAAACACTTTCCTAATCAATTGAGAGACTGGCTTTGTCCAGGACCATGAAAGGCATAGCAATCGTGTTGCCGGTGGCAGGGGCAGAATGGTGATTACAAAGCAGGGCAGACGGGAGGCTCGGCAAAGCGGAGCTGGCTGCCAGGGCCCCGCAGGATCAGGGAGTGCCAAGGCCCCGTGTCGTCACTTTGTGATGAATGCCCCCACCCTGTGGGGAGGCTCACATGGGCTCTGGAGTGCCTCGGCCGGCTGCCAAAGGCCCAGAGCTTGACAGGGGCATCTCCCTGGGCTGGCCGGCTGATTGTCTCCACTGTCAGAGCTGGTCCCCTGGGGAACACAGCTGTCTTTGGCAGAGCTATTGGAGAAACTGATTGGCGTGGAGGAGAAAAAGCTGAGGAGGGAGGAGGGATGGGGTGGGCTCCTGCAGAAGGCATCGGTGCTGGCGGCAGACCTGGGCTTTCATTTTCACACCCACACAATCTCCACCATGGGGAGCTGCCAGGCTCCCAATTAAAAAGCCTGCCTGCCTGCCTAGAAGGCGCCACACAGAAAGCAATATGTATTGACAGGAGCAGAGCTGTAGGCCCAGAAGCTGTTGCTTGACTGAAACCAGCCTCTCTTCCCCTTCTGTGAGCTCATAGAATGATAATAGAAATACCATACGTTTACAATGCAGTTTACTATTTCCAAAGCACTATCCTCTGCATTATCAAAACAATCCTGGGGAGGGGCAGGAGATATCCCATTTTAAAAGAAAGAAAACTGGACCTCTGAGAACTGAAGTGATTTTTGCAAGGTCACAGAGCCAGGAAATAATAACAGTGCTGGGAATAGAACCTTGGTCTTCTGGTTCAGTCTATGAATGGATAGAGTGAATAAAAAAGGCTTTCTTAGGCATTTACTATATGCAGGACAAAAGATCCAAATAGGAGCAGGACAGCAGACCCTGCCCTCAAAAAAGCTCCCATTCTAATAAAGGGAGACCACCCATAAAGGGGAGCTGGGGACCAAGGAAGAGTGTTTCAGACAAAGAAGTCAGAGGGAACAGAGATAGGAGGTAGAGGGCAAATGATTTCCCTTTCCAGTCTCAATTTGATTGGGGCTCTCAGAGCGAGAGTTAAAAGAAGATGTCGAATGTGAGGAACAGGTATGCAGAGATGACTGGGAAGTGGTGGGGTAGGCCCAAGACCAGATGAGATAAGGGGAATGCTCACCAATGGAGGCTGGTAGGCAGGCAGTAAGGCATGGAGATGCTATGGCTGGGAAGTCTAGAGATACTTCCTTGGGGCCTTTGCTAATGAAATGTCCTGGCTCGGGCAGAGCTTGCAAGGGCTGGCTCACTGTTCGTTCTATGCTAACACCCTCACTTTGTGTGCTCTGATGTCACAGTGCTTCCTGGGGAACCATCTTGGTACTTTCTCTTCTAAACCAGTAGCGAGAAGAGGCCCTCTTCTGTCCGAGACAGACGTGGGATACAGAGACGTGGGTCTTAAATAGGTTGGCTTGTTTCTGTTTGTTTGGGTTTTCTCTATGTTCCCAGTGCCTAGAACAATATCTGGCATATAGTAGGCGCCTAAAGTTTGTAGTATTTAATTGTCTTTAATTAATTAGTTCTATTATTTTTATATTATTTAATATAATTTTTATTAATTTATTTTATTTCATTGATATATAATTTAGTATAATTTTATTGATTTATTGCCTTATTTTATTTATTATTAATAAGTCTTTTATTTCCCTTCCTGGTAAGGGTGAGCCCAACCCAGGACTGTGAATGTAGTAAGACCTCAGAGAGCAAAAATGAAGAAATCAGAAATCTGTGGTGTGCTCTGCCCAATAATCTCTCCAAACTCTTCCGGACTGCCCTCGCTCTTACTCTCAGGGGTCTGGGAGAGGCAGAGGTCATTCGGCAGAGCCAAGGCCTGGGCACAGGGACTCTGAAGTCACTCGCTAGGAGTTTACCATCACAGACAACCCCCAGGAAGCACGGGGGTCCAGGTCCGTGAAAGGGGCTTTCCATCTGTTGCCTCTTGGCAGTGGCATAGGCTGCCCCTTGTGCCTAGAATGTGTCCTGGCCTCACCTGCCTCTTACAGTGCTCAGTTTTGTTCAGGTGGTATATACCACTTCCTATGGGAAGCCTTCCCTGATCTTCCTAGTTCATAATTCAAACTATTTACATCTGTGTTCATCTATTTACTTAGCAGAATGTAAGCTTCTTGGGAGCAGAGACTAGTGCTTTTTTGTTGTTTGTCTCTGTATCCACACATGTCTAGCACATGGTAGGTGCTTAATCCATGCGTGTGGAGCCAATGAAATTGGATTGGTACAGCCAAAGGGGCTGGAGGGACAGGAGAGCTGGATCTTACTCTGCCCTGATTCACCCTGAGCTGTGGCAGTTTCCTAACCTGCCGAACGAGGAAAACCCCTGCCATTGAGCCTTATGATTGCCAAGTCTGAGGTGTTGGAATTGGAAAATGATAGGGCAGTGAAAGATGGTGGATCTCGGAATACATTAGTTATTGAGTCCCAGCTAAAATCCTGCCTTCCATAGGAAGCCTTCTTCCACCGCTCTTAATTCTAATGCCTTTCCTCTTTTAATTATTTCCTGTCTATTCTATGTATAGCTTGTTTGTATATTTTTGTTTGCTTGCTGTCTCCCCCCTTAAATTGTAAGCTCCTTGAGGGCAGGGACTGGCTTTGGCCTTTGTCGGTTTGTATCACCTATTTTTGTATCCACCCTGCATAGCACGGGACCTGTTAGATAATAGATGCTTAATAAATGTTTATTGATTGATTGATTAGTATCTATTGTTACTGCTACTGCTGCTAGTCTATGCTATCACAGTCAAAATCATTTCCAGCATCTCTTTCCTTCACTAGGGAGTTAGTCTAGCTAAAGGAGAGCGAGCACCTACACAGCAGGTGCTTAATAAATATTTAATGATTGATTGAAAACGTCAAGGGGTTCTAGGTCTGGCCCTAAGCAGATAATTGTGAGCCATCCCAATTCACAGAGTTGGAAGGAATCTCAGAGGTCATGTCTGACTAGGGGTCTTCTCTGCGATTCCTTTCCCAAGTGACCCTATTCTTAGTAACTTAGACATGGTATGCCCTCTAGTGTGGGCTCCAAGGAGCATAGCAGCTTGGGAAACATGAGGGACATGCTGCCCAGCCAGGACCTTGTCATTGTTAAACCACTTCTAATCCTTGTTATTTTTCTCTAATCCCTCTCCCCGGCCCCCCTCCTGGCGGGCTTGCCTGCCTGCCTTGCCGGCCTCGGCTATAGAGCCTTTGTTCCCAGCCAGGAGCTGCTGCTGAGCCCCAGGCATGAGCAAGCCAAAGAGCTCCTACAGCAGGCTAGAATGAAGGCCAGGACCAGCCCTCTCCGGGCCAACCATGACATCGTTCCCACCGTGGTCCCCCGGCTCCCCGGCAGGTGAGTGTAGATAGAGATGTGGCTGCGGGATCTCGGGCGTGCTCAAGGCAGCGGGGTGGGGGTGGGCTGAGAAGAGGAATGGGGAGCCATTGCTGAGGCTGCCTTCTCTGGGTTTCTGTCTCTCTGTAGCCTGCGTGACCTGTCCCTCCCATGGACATCGTTCTTGTCATCCCATCCCATACACCACTAACACACCAGGACACTGATAGGGAGGTGTGTATGTGACTCACAATTTGATTGAGATCATCTGATCCTTTTTTTTTTCTCCTCCTGACCAACGAATCCTTCACAGGGTCATAGATTTAGAGATGGAAGGCCCCTTCCTTGTCACTCCATTCATTGTACAATTGAGGAGCTAAGGTTAAATGACTTGCCCAAGGGTACACAGGTAATAAGAGGCCAGGCCAGGACTCGAGCCTAGGCCCTTTGACTTCAGGGCCATGATTCCTTCCGTTCTGCCATGTTGACTTCTCCCTCCTCTTTTCAGGCATTCTCCAGAGGGAACCATCCAACCATCCAAATACACCCACTAAACTCTCTGACTCTACCCCAGAAAGGAGCCTCCTCCTGGAGGATTTTTCACAGAAAGCCCACACCCTTTCAGTTCTTCTCTGAAACTTTTTGTAAAATCATTAGGGATGCTGAGCCTTACTGGCAAGGATTCACTGAGCACCTAGGGCATCCAGCGCTTTTCCTTTTTCTATCCGATCCATAGAGATAAGGTGGAAAATAGTATTGCTGCTTACTGAAATCCTTCAGGACCTCTGGACAGCCCAGAACCTAAGCTGATTCCTTTTCCCTGTCCAGCCTTAGGGGATCCCTGGAGATAGGCTCAGGGCTTACTTAGTGCAGCACTTGATACATAGAAAGTAATTTTTAAAACGCTTGTTAATTTGGCTGGGCAGAGAGATCTGCTTACCTTCCCCGAAGAGCAGCCTCAGATTCTGATCTGTTTTGCTAAATTGACCAAGGTCCTGGGCATGGTTAAAGATGGCCTTTAGGTGCAGCCCTGGAAGAGAGAAGACTTTCCATCACCATCCTGGGATGGAGACAGATGAGGAGGTGTCCTCAACTATACCTCTGCCTTTCTAGCCCTACTGCTTGGATGTCAAAGGCCCCTTGGGATGCCTCATCCCCTTGAAATGAAGCCTTCCTTGGTACTTTCAGCCAAATGGGAGGTCACCTCCTTAACACTTCTTTGGTGCCTCTAGTAATGCTACCGGGCTTTGTATTTGGGCTCCTGCATTCGTACATGTGCCTCATCTCCCCTGGTAGAGCATAATTGTCTCAAGGGCTCTTACTCATCCTAGATTTCCCAATAAGGCCTACCATGCTGCTCTTCAAGCATAGTAGGTGTGTTGGGTTGAATTCTTGTTCTTCTGGGGAGGATACAATAGTTACATCTCTCAGTATAATATAAAGTAAGGAGCAATGGGATCAGACATTCATTGGGAGTGCCGTGCATACTATGATGATAACCAGCATGCTCTAAGGCAGCCATATAAATTCACACGGTGCCTTGTTGATAACCATGGACTTCACCGTCTCTCTGAACCCCAATTTCCCCAAATGTCAAAATGGAGATAAAAATATTTGATTTATCTACCTCATAGGTAAGAAAGTGCCTTGTGAACTAGAAGGTATTGTAGAAATATAAACAACTGGTATTAGTTCCGGTGCGCATAATAGGCCCCTAGTGTTTGCTGAACTGAATTGAATTGAATCAGGCATTACTAAAACTATCTGCATACATTCAAACCCCCCCACCACCACACACACACACGTTGTAGGTTATGCATTGACATGTATATCTGCACCCTTGTGCACACATATGCACAGGCACAAATGCACCTGATGTCTCCCTTTTCCACTTCTGGGCAGCCATCCAGATGCGGCATGTGATAGAATTGTACCAGGGACTCCATCTCCAGCTTTTTTCAGTGGAAGCAGATGGGGAAGGGGAGATGATGGAAGAATAAGAGAGGAAACAGGAATGCACACGGCATGTTCAGTAGTCAGGATATACATCATTCTGGAGGGAGCAGAGTCTGTATATTGGGGCTGGAAAAGTGATTGGAGGCAGATTATGGAGGGTTTTGCATGCCGGGCGAAGGAGTTTGTATTTGATCCTATTAATGATGATGGGAGCCACTGAAGCCTCCTTCAAGTGCTGGGTTCAAATCCTGACTCACTTATTTAACATATTGTCATGGGCAAGTAACTTTATCTCTCCAGGCCACAGTTTCCTTAACTATATTATGAGAAGGAGGTGAACTAGATGACCTGTAAAGTCCCTCCTGGCTTTATATGTGTGATCCTATGATTAATGTCATGATATTTCAGATTAAGTCACTTTAAGCCAGAATTAGTTTCATTTGGTCCAGTTGCAGGGGGAGGGTCAGGCCTCTTTATGATTTGGTAAAGTGACCCACTCAACAATGCACAAACAGTGTCCCTTTGTGGACCCAAAACCTACTCTCATGAGCACGTCGATTGCTGTGATGTGCCAGGTAGAGGGGAAGCTTGCTTGTGATGCTGGTAGTCTACCCTCCTGTTTCCCCCATCACCTTCCTTGTGTCCCTAATCTCTTTGCTTTTGTCTCTAATCCAGGGGTGCTTATAGTGGTGCAGGCCAAAACTCCAGGGTGACCCTTGCCTCCAGAGACGGAGATGCCCCCTATGGTGGGAGCCTGAGTGACTCGTCTAGTGGGGAGTCCAGCTGTGGCCAGAGGAGGAAACGAGGCCCCTCCCCATCAAGAGTCCGATTTGAAGATGAGTCTGCCCATGATGCTGAGGTCCGATATCGGGAGAGGTTGCAGCAGCCTCAGAAGAGAGCTTTGGACTCTGTACTCCGGTCCCTGGGTCAAGGACCCCTGGTCTCCAAGCCTGACCTATCCAACTACATCAATGGTGACTTCCACACTAGAGAAACTCAGGCCTATTGGGGACCACCAACCAAAGGAAGTACAGGGGGGACAGTCAGGAGAATCCTGCCTGGAAAGGTACCAGAACTTAATGTTGAGGGGACATGTCATACGTGTGGCTCCTACCTTCAAGGGGTGCCTCAAGATCTAGACCTCCATCCTATGGAGAGGAAGATGCCCCCAGGCAGAAGCCATAGTCAGGAGAGAGAGGACACTTGGAGTATGAAAAAAGGTCAGGGTATTCCTCAAACAGAGTCTTCTGCCTCCCGAGGTCTGGCCTCCCCAATCTGGATCCTCCCATCCCGACAACGTCTCCATACAGAGCGCATTCGAGAGACGTACATTGGAGAGGTCACCTTCCCTGACGAAGTGGACTCTGCCTTGGACAGCACAGATACCTCAGACAGCTGCAGGACAGACAGTGAGGAGGCTGGAACCCCTCACTGCAAGAACAGGGGCAGAGCCCGAGGAAGTGGCCACCCAGTCTACCCGAGGGGCCGGAGGGCTGGAGGAACACAGAAACGAGGAAGGGAACCTGAAATGGAGAAGGCTGAGGGCACCCTGGCCTGGGACAACCAAGCAGAAGTGGGAGGTAGATTCGAAGAGGCTAGAAGAAGTGCCCCTGAGGGGTCCTCATTTCCCAAAGAAGACCCTGTCGAGGCTGAAAGTACTTCTAAAGAGGAGCAGAGGACAGTAGTGCCACCTCCACTAGTTACTGCCAGACAGAGCTGTAAATGGACTCACTCAAAAGATACTCAGGCTCTGGGTGGGGCACTGAACACCATGGCCTCTTCTCAGCAGCTGGCACTGTCTGTGCCAGGGGTAGAAGCCCAGATTTCAGGGAGCCAAGAACCCCTCAAAAGTGCTATAGCCTCCTGCCCCCGGCCTCCTAATCATGCAAGCCCAACAAGAGCATCCAGTCATGGCTGCCCCCAGCAAGCCAAGAAGCCAGCTCAACCCTTCACGCTAGGGACTTGGGTTCCAACCCCCCCAACTGTGAAGAAAGCACCCTCACCTGTGCCTTACAGGAAGGCTCTGCTGGCCCGGACCCTTTGGCCAGACAACCAAAGGGAGCCGACAGGTGCTCACCGACTTTCCCTGAGAGAGAATGACGTGGGATCGGGAGGGATAACTCCAGCAGAAAACCAGCTCAGCCCCCCTAGGATTAAGCACCATCTGCTGGTCCCATCTACCAGTGACTTTAACAGCCTTGGGCCTCAGGAGCAACTCAACATCCGGAGAAAAGGTGCAAGAGAAAGTCAGAGGGAGAAGGGCCCAGCTAGCTGGGAGCCAGAACCATCCGCTGGGAAAAGCAGAGACGGTAAGAGATTTCTGTTCATAAATGTCTACTCCTCCCCAGCCCTGGAAAAATAACCTGAGTTCAGGTGACGAGTCCCAACTTGGATTCTTTATACCCTGCACACGTTTTTCCAAGGTAGTCAGAGGTTTTACACCAAAGTCTTCAGAAAAATCTTGAACCAAAATTAATTTTAATTCATTTCCATTTTTTAAAGACCTAGTGTGCGAAACCTAAAGCACTCAACTTGGAGTTGTGGGGTCTGAGTTCTAATCCAGTTCTGCCACTTTCTGCCTGTGTGACTTTGGGTGAGTCTCTTCATAGCTATGGGCCTCAATTTACTCATCTGTAGATATAGGGAAGTTGTACAAGATGGCCCCAGCCATCAACCTGGGATCAATGTGATCACCTGCTGTGACTGGATGACCTCTGAGATCTTTTCCATGTGAAGATCTTTGATCTTGTGATCTTTTGCCTGAAACTCAGTTTTCTCAACTGTGAAACGAGAGGGAAGGAGTTGAACTCAATGCCCTTGAAGGGGCCCTTCCAGCCCTAGAACTATGATCCTTTTTTTAGAATTGGAGGGCATCTTGAAGATCTTTTAATTCATTTTCTATGGATTTTTGTGGATGAGGAACTTAAAGCCCAGACAGAAAGGTAAAATCAGGTGACCAGCTCCTGGCAGAGTCAGGATGAGAACCCAACCTTTGACCTTGGCTTTTCCTATTATACCGTGTGTTGTACATGACTCTGTTGAGGGATATTGATCACTCAAAGGATGAAGAGTCACAGCTCCAAAAGTCTGGGGAATCACTGAGTTTTATTTACAGCTTCTGGAGCTAGAAACCAGAACACTCTGGTTTCCTCTTCTCATTCCTTTGTCTTGTCGTTTTAACTGGGACAGCCTCTCAGGCCCCCCAGAGGCAAGCCAAAGGTATTCTAGAGGGCAGGGAGGGTGGTGGGTTGGGCAGAATACAGAACTTGGCACCAGGAGCTATGATCCTATGTTAGAATTTAACAAACAAGCTTTTATTAAGTGTCTGCTATGTACAAGGCACCGTGGTAGGTGCTGGAAATATGAAGTCAGAAGTGAAAACATTCTGCTGGATCGTTTGGCCAGTAATATTCTTAAGTATTTTATCAACCATAGATCTCAGAACCCTCCTCAGAACAGTTAGAATCAGAGGGAAATGAAATCACTTATTGAAAGTTCCATATGCCAGGAGTAAGTGACAGATAGGAATCACTGTGAGAGCTATACGAAAACTTCACTCAATGCTGGGCCCTCCTCCAGGGTGGATTGACGATGAGTGTCAGTGGGCAAGATTGTTAATGTGGTTCACCGTTTCCAGTGCTTGTAGCCTTGGCCCCAAGTCGTTGGTATTGTAGCTAAATCTGGACCAGATCCCCATAGCATAGACATTGATGTTGGGAAGCCGAGATTCAAGGTGATCCCATTTCCTGCATGCTACACAAAAGCCCTCCAGTACCCCAGGGTTCAAAATTCATGTCCAAATATAGCCAGCACTAGCAGTGCTCTTGGTGCTGAGATAACTGGGAGAATGAACAAAGACTTGGCAACGTAATAATGGTGTCGGGAGGAGGCAGAGAGAGACAACCAGACCTCTACAGTTTTGGCTAGGGCGCTGATGCCTTGTCATGTCTTTATCTAGTATAAAACACGAGGGAAACATGCACAAACGTGCCCTCAAGAAATAGAGCCTCTCGTCTCTACTCTGCTGGGATGTGGTTACTCAGGGACTTTGGCTAGCTTCCCTTAATGATAGTGCCTTCCCCCTGAGATTACCACACATTTACACCCCATATATCTTGTGTGTACGTAACTGTTTACATATTGTTTGCAGTTGCTTCCCTGTTAGAAGGTGAGCTCCTTGAGGTCAGGAACCGTGTTTTTGCCTTTCTTTGTATGCACAGTGCTAGGCACATAGTGATCATTTAATAACTACTTATTGATTGACTGAGGGCAAGAGAGTGGCATATAGACATCTGGTCTGAGGTTTTCTTGTGAGATGTAGACCCTAGTTGGTGCTGCTTAGATTTCTGGATTTGACAGCCCATTGTGCAGATTGGATGCTCTCCTCCAGGGGAGTCTAAACAAGCATGAGTTGATTAAGGGAACTCATAATTTCTTCTTGATCGGAAAAGGTAGAGGTCAACGTGGGTAATGGAATCAGCAATTCATATTATTTATTATTTCCAATATGAAATTTATCATTTCCAGTCAAACCATCAACTATAGAACAAAGATAAAAATTCACACCAAGATAGAACATCAAAAGATAAGAAGATGCTTTGGACAATCCAGCAATGACAATATGACTTATTCAAGCAAACAGTGAAAAGTGAAAAATGGATAAGGCGAAGATATTGACCTTCATCATCACCACTGCCTGGAAGAAAAATGCTAGTGTAAAACAGTTACCACAGTGAAGAGGCCAATTCAGCCCCCAAAACTGACTTAGCCAGGAGACACCTGATCTTGTGACCAGGCAGAGAGATCATTCAAGGGCAACACCAGTTTAGAACACAAACTCATTTGTAAAACCTGGCAGAAGATGATAAGCTGTTATAATAAAAAGCCAAAAGGGAAGGGAAAGGAAAAGGGAAGGGGAAACAAGTTTTGGTGTGAGACCCCAATGAGCCATATCATCTCAAGAGACATTCAGAGACAGAAAGGGCAAGAGATGGACAATAACAAATTTGTTGATTTGTGATTTTGATTTAATTGTTTCAAGGAACTCCCAGGGAAGGAAAACTCCATCCACTAATGTAGGTTGGCACCTTCTCTGCAAATTACTCTCTTAGAGAGTTGTCTAGAGCACGGAGAAGTTAAGTTACTTGCCCATGGTCACACAACCAGCTGGATCTCTTTCCACTGTGTCATGCTGCCTCTCAACATTCCTATAACAGTCTATTTCATCAACAATGACAGAGGAACCACTAGTTATGGATCCTAAGACCTCTGTCTCCCTCAGAATACTAGTGAAGTAGAAAGTCATTTAGGAAGACAAAGTCTGGGGAAAAGACTGGACCAGATCAAGACCATACTGAGGAAATGATTCACCATCCCTGAAAGCTGTGAGCTATTACTTTCCAGGTTATTTCAAGGAGAGGAGAATCACAGATATCACAGATAACATTAACATCCCCCAAAAGGTAATTCAAAGAACATCAAAGCTACTGACCCATATGCCTCCTTTTTCATTTTTATGAGATCTTTATGAGCATGTTCTTCATGTGTACTGCGCGTATCCCTGATGAAAATATGAGAAAGATTGGGCAGGCCATGACAAATCATTCTGCCCTATCTTAAAAGTCACTTAGCTGACTGAAGGACCCCAAGGATATAAGACCCTGCCGAGTTTGTCATTTGTGGCTTGCAAAATGCAACCTTCCAAGCTGTCTTGAGTGTGTTTAAGATCATTCTAGATTCTGTGATAAATATGACCAAAGATGAACTCAAAAACCCTCTGATTATTCATGTCAAGAAAGGCATAATGCACAGAGCTGGTAGCATGCCTTTTTTGTTTTTAAAAATAGAGATTTTTTATTTAAAAGTTTTTATTACATTTTTAATGAACAAGCATTTGGTTTTTTCTCCCTCCTACCTCCTCCTCACCACTCATAGGGATGGAAAGGAGGGTAGGAGGGTGAAAGAAGGAAGGAAGGAAGGAAGGAAGGAAGGAAGGAAGGAAGGAAGGAAGGGAAAGAGGAAAAGGAAAGGAAGAGGGAGGAAAAGGAAGGGAGGAGGGAGGGAAAGGGAGGAGAGAGGGAAAGGAAGGAGGGAGGGAAGGGAGAGGAAGGAAGGAAGGGAGGGAGGCACAGAGGGAAGGAAAGAGGGAGGAAGAGAGGGAGAGAGGAAAGAAGGAAGAAGGGAGGGGAGGGAAGGAGAGAGGGAAGGAAGGAAGGTAGGAAACGATCCTTGCATTACATACAGTCAAGCAAAACATATTCTCACATTGGTCACACATTGGTCATGCATTGGCCAATGCATTTCTTATTCTGAATACTAGTCCATCATCTCTCTATCACGTGGTAGGTAGTGTTCTTCTTTGTCAGTCCACTGGCATCATGGCTAACCATTTAGTTGATCAGAGTTCATAAGACTTTCAAAATTGTTTTTATAATATAGATGTTGTAGTATAAATTGTTGTTCTAGTTCTGCTGTCTTCACTCTGCATCAGGTCATACAATTTTCTACGTCTCTTTAAAAGAATCAGATGAGATAATATTTGTAAAAGTTCTCAGCACAGTGCCTGGCACACAGAATGCACTCTAGAAATGTTTATTCCCTTCCTTTTGAAACCATCTCTTTCTTCATTTCCTACATCACAAGAGCACTCCATTAGAGTATATATCATAATTTGTTCAGCCATCCCTTACTTGACGGGTACCTCCTTAGTTTCTGATTCTTCTGCCACAAAAAGAGTGGCTATCAATATTTTTCCATGTAAGAACTTTTCCTCTTCTTTGACCTTATACAACTTTCTACCACACCACAGTGAGGACATCACATCTATGGTCAATGAAGCAGATCCAAAATGGAACAGGAGGAGGACAGCAGGCTACATTGCATTTGGGCAGTTGTGCAGTATTTTTAATGATCTCAAGCTGCTCCTTGGCACAGAGACCTATTGTTCAAACACAAATGTTCTCCCAGTGGTATTGCATGGTTGTAAATCTTGGAACAATACAGTCACAAGGGCATCAGAGTTGTGGGTGAAACAAGGGGCAATGGGAGAATCGTGGTGGACCCAAATGGACATACATATTGCCAGGGGTAAATGGCCTACCTCTTCTAATCATACCTTCCTTAGATGGTCTCCCTTATGTTGTTTCTTATGTAGAGGCCACCTGGCAAGATTGAGGGATAACATATGGACAGCCCTAGGGTGCCATTGGCATCTATAAAACATAGTAGACCCTAGAGGAAGGGCTCTAATACACAGGGTGGGGCCTCTGTGGAGAAGCCATTGAAGAGCATGGATAAGAATCACAGGATGAAAAGGTATGGGTGGATTTCCATTTGTAGCAATAGAAGAAAAAACCCAAAAGATCTAGATACACTGAGGTATTGTTTGCACATAGCACCATTTTCTCAGAGAGCTCAAATTCCTCCTCTCTTCTTCGTGTCCCTGTGACAAAGTCATGATCACAGTTGACTTTTGGTTATATAAATTAAATGAAAAGGATCCCTTTTTTCATATAATTAAGACAACTTTATCCATCCAGGGCTCTTCACCTCACCAACTGGATGGCTTCACCTGCCACATCCACCAGTACTCTGCTTGGAGTTTATTAAATTATATCTCTGTACACCTTACATCCCCTCTATCTCCTCACTGCCCTTTTCACTATTTGTTGGTAAAAACTCTCTTCTTTGAGGACTTGGAAAATACAAGATATGGATACCAATACCTGCCTGACAGGGAGGTGGCTATGTGATTGTTGCAGGTGGATTTTTGGGTCTTCCTGAGACAGCTGGGACCAGCAGCCTCACCTCCACAGGAGTCACGGTCTCATTGGCAACAGAGCAACCCCAATCTAGCATAGAGACAGAGGACAAGCTCCAGACGGTAAAACCAAGCTCAGAAAAAAACGTCTCAAAACGGTGAGTGACCACAAGGAATGTTTTCCTGTCTAGCTTCACAGGCAGGGATGTTATGGGGCTTCCTGAATGACTGTGAGAAAGGATGAAGTCCTCGTGTTGTGTGGTAGAGGCGATAATGGGGCTGAGCCAGGACCCACTACTTTGAGCCATCTCTTCATCCTCTATACGGATCAGATACCGCGGCTAAGACTGCCTCATCATGGCCTCCTGCAACTAGGCAGCTAACATTGATATAGAACCTACTGTGTGCTAGGCACCGGGCTAAACCTAGAAAGATGTTCCTTACCACCAACCCTTCTAATTTTCCTTGCTTAAGTACATTTGGCCCTCTGCTTTTGTTTATCTCTCTCAGAGGGCGAGACCCCAAGAGCTGAGCTGGCTTACAGTAGAACAAAGCCCCCCACTTCCTTTCTTAGGTTCATAGGATTATAAATCTAGAGTTAAAAGGAACTTTAAAGGCCCAATACCTCCACTTTTCAGGGGAGGAAACTGAGGCCCAGGGGAGTTAAGTGACATACCCAAGGTCCCGCAGGTGGTAGGCAGCGAAGGTGAGGTTTTCCTCGCCTGGGAGTTCCTTGAAACAATTAAATCAAAATCGCAAATCGACAAATTTGCTGTCGTCTATCTCTTGCCATTTCTGTCTCCTGGCTGAACCTAAGTCTTCTGAGATCAGAGCAAGTGCTCTTTCCCTCTCCTCTTTTCTGGTTATTTGGAGTCTTGGCTATCTGTTAAGACTAATACGTCTCACATCCCCAAGTATCAGAGGACTACGTGAACCTCCAGTCCCACAAACCCTAATGCTAGGGAGTTGATATGAAGGATCCTGTCCTTTGAGTTCAAGAAGAACTCGCCAAGGAAGCCCAGCCAGAATTACCTTCCAGCATCCTGGGGACATTAGGGGGTCTCTTCTAGGACTAATGCCTGTCTTATGCTAGCCCAGGTTTATGTTGCCATCTACTTTTTTTGTAGCTCCATCTCACCAGCTGACCAATGTGTTTCAGACCATCACCAGGGGCCCCTTCAGGACCCAGCACCCCCTTGGCCATTCCAGCTGGTGGGAGCAAGAAAGGGAACAGTATCTCTTCTGCACTTGGGCTGAAGAAATTCTTCTCTATCTTGGGCCAAACCACCCGACAGAAGCTGGGCAAGTTTCGATGCTACAGCATGGAGCAGATCCCTCCTGCAGCCTCAAACCGGGCCCTGCAGAGTGAAACCCACCAAGTCCAGAGCTCCAAGATGAAGAAAACACCTTCTCTGCAGTCCCTGCAGCTGGTGAGTCCCAAGTGTCAGGTCAAGAAAGGCATAAAGCACAGAGCTAGTAGTATGCCTTTTTTTGTTTTTAAAAGTAGAGATATTTTTATTTTAAAAGTTTTGTTTCATTTTTAACAATCAAGCATTTGGTTTTTTTCTTCTTCCTACCTCCCCCTCACCACTCATAGGGATGGAAGGGAGGGAAATAAGGAAGGAAGAAAGGAAAGAAGGAAGGAAGGAAGGAAGGAAGGGAGGGAGGGAGGGAGGGAGGGAGGGAGGGAGGAGAGAGAAAAAGGAAGGGAGTGACAGTCCCTTCCTTCTGTGACTGCTATGATCATAGATTTGGCCAGCTTGAGCCCAGCTGTTGTTAGAAAGTCAGCATTCTGGGAAGAGGGCCTGGGAGGCAGGAGGGCTAATCACGGTGGTGCTGTGAATGAGGAGAAGGTGGAGAAGTGGAGCTATCTACAGTGGCACAGACAAGAGAGTGATGGCTCTCAAGTCAAACCTGAGTTCAAATGCTCCCACAGATATTTTATTAGCCAAAAATGGGCAACTGCTCCGCCTTTCACTTTGCTCCTCCATAAAATGAAGGTTTGGGTTGGCATCAATACCATCTAAGGTCCCTTTCCAGCTCTGTGCTCTTTTGATCCGTCACAATTGGTCTGGCCATCTGTCTTCCCTACATTGAGAAGCTTACGGGTCCCCTTGAACCCAGTATGAAGCAGACTATGACTCATAGTTTTCCTCTTTTAAAAAAATCATCTAGGTAGCTTCTTCTTAGCTCCAGTTCATGATGCTCAAAGCCCTGAATTTAAACAGAAGAGATCCAAGTTTGACTTCCAGCTTTACTATTTACTAGCTGTCTGGCCATAGGCAAGTCATTCTACCTAGCCTCAGTTTCATCATCTGTTAAAATGAGAAGAATAATATTTGCTTCATTCATAGGGTCATTGAGAGGAAAATCCTTTATAAAATACAAATGGCTACCATTTGGCATTCATATAATGTTCTAAAATTTACAAAACACTTTATATATGTTGTCTTATCTGATCCTCACAACAACCCTTTGATTTAGGTTTTGATTTACTTATTTATTTGATTTATTGTTATCCCCATTTCATAGATAAGGAAGCTGAGGCTGAAAAAAGTTAAGTGACTTCATAATCTAACCCCCTACTACCTTTCCAGTCATACACCTTATATCTCCCCCGCCACGTACTCTTCAGTCCAGTGACGTTGGCCACCTTGTATACAATTTGTACATACTTGTTTGCTTATTATTTCTTCTATTAGATTGGGAGCTCATTGAGGGCAGGGACCGTCTTTTGACCTCTCTTTATATCCCCAGTGCTTAGCACAGTGCCTGGCAAAGAGGAGGCACTTTAACACTTACTGGCTGACAGATGCACACACTCGCCCAGGGTCCCACAGCTAGGCCTCCACCCCATTTAGCACCCTTCTCTCCTCTTTCATTTTTTGTTATCTATTGCCTCCTTCCACGATGCCTGCAGGCGTGCTCAGGTTTCCTCCGTCTGTCAAAAATTTCCCCTTGACCCTGCCATCATCTGGAGCTGTCATCTCCATTGCTTCCGTTGCCTCACCACCCACTCACTTCTCCACACCTCAGAATCTGGTTTCAGACCTTACCCCTTGATCAAAACCTTCAGTGACTGATTAACTGCTGGTTTTGATTAGTTAGCCTTCTTTCACTGACATCTCTGCAGCATGTGTTACTGTTGCTTAACTTCTTTGACTGGTTCTCCTCCTACCCGTCTGACCATTCCTTCCCAGCCTGCTCTCCTAGACAATCATCCATCATCCATTTACTACAGGTATGATTTTGGACAAATCACTTCCCCTCCTTGGGCCTCATTTTCCTCATCTGTAAAATGAAGGGGTTGGGTTCCATCATAGAGCTAGAGCTATAAGTAAGGGACCTTGGAGACCTCTCATTTTACAGGTGAGGAAACTGAGGCGTGGGCAGCTCACACAGGTAGTAAGCCTCAGGGTGAGATTTGAACCTCTGCCTTCTGACTCCAGAGCCAATGTTCCTCCCTCTGTACCAGATACTGGGCAAAAGGCCAGTGTCGGGAAAGCATAAGTGGTAGAACAAAGGGGAATCCACCTGGGGAGGAGATAGGGGGTGGAGACATTGGGCAGGCAGTGGGAAGGGAGGAAGAAAGAAATGCTCCGTGTCTGTGTTTGTTTATGCCTCTCTGCTGGCACCTGTGTTTGCCAGTGTGTGTCAACACTATCACTGACACCTTTTTCCCTGAGGGTCTGGCCTTCGTTTTGGAGTCAGATTTATATAGCATATCCCTAAACCCTGGTACTGGGAGATAAGCTAGATTTGTACCATATAAGCGCTTCCAGGGAATGGCGCCATAGTCAAAGGGTAGGGGATGGGAATGAGGGAGGAGGATCTGTTTGGAATCTAAATCAAACTGGACAGGAGCAGGCCAGGAAGTTGGCAAACAGGGGGCAGGGCTGGAGCAGGACCTGGGAGGGCACGTGGAGGGGCTGAAACAAACGGAAAGAGGGGGCTAGCTGCCCGGCTCGGAGGGGCTTACATCGTCAGATCTCTGGGCATGAGGTAGTGGCTGCTCCGAAGAGTCTTGGCTTTGTGGCTTGTCTTTCTATGAAGCAAAGCTGGAGGAGCTGGGACCACACAGACGTGAACTGAACAGACGTAACCCCAGGCTACTTTGTCCACTGCTCCTCTGGGGTAACCTCCTGTCACTAGCACTGGGGAAAGACTGTGTCCTTAGCACTGATGGCTTTTCTCCCCTCCTCTGACGGTGGCCCTTCCCTACAGTGTCCCGAGGAGTCTGACGTGGGACCAATCAATTCCAGAGCCTGAATGTCTTTTTACAATGGAAAGAACACTTGATTTGGAGCCAGGGGACTTCGATGTAAACCCTTCCTGTGTCCTTACTATCTGCGTGACCTTGGGCAAGGCATTGAACCTCTGTAAAAGCGGGGGGGGGGGGGGGGGGCTGGTCCAGCTGGGATCCTCTCAGGTCCCTCCCAGCTCCAGATCTATGCTCCTGTGATTGGATGGCGGTGGGATATAGTGAGAAGAGACATAAAGAATCAAAGATGCCGACGTGGCCCTCAGTCAGAGTGACTGGGAAAGTGGTGGTGCCCTCCACAGAAACAGGGAAGGGGGCAGGCTGAGGAGTGCCGTCCCGCTCTGCTAGCCTGAGAGCCCATTGTTAACATTTCAGTATGAGCACTGAAAATCACCAAACTCTGCAGATCAAGTCTTGTTTTGTTGATTGTCTAGACTTGAGAAAGTAATAGAGAAAATCCTAGTAATACAGATTCAACTTAATAGTGTGCCATGGAAACAATTTTCCTCAATAATCTGGTTGTTAAACATTTACCAGCACACCCTCTGGATGTAGTTTTTTTTTCTTTTTCAAATTTTTTTTTTGGGGGGGTAGTTGGGGTTAAGTGACTTGCCCAGGGTCACATAGCTAGTAAGTATCAAGTGTTTGGTCTAAGGGCAGATTTGAACTCAGGTCCTCCTGAATTCAGGGCCGGTGCTCTATCCACTGCGCCTCCTAGCTGCCCACCTCTGGATGTAGTTGAAGGCGTGTAGTCAACTCCTTGTTACTGTTCAACTCCTCGTTATGAGTTTAAAATGAGAGTTCTCTTCCAGCCTGTCCGTGTTCACTTTCCTTTCCAGTTAGGATGTTCCTCCTTTAGCTCTAACCCTGGGGGTCACTGTTATTTCTTGCTGGTTCAGACGAGGGCCTTTTCAAGCACTGACCCCAGTTCACCACCTTCACTTCCAATGGAATTTGCCGTCTTTGCGCGGGTCACCCAGCGAGAAGAGAAGAGGGAGTCGTAGTGGTGAAATTGACAGGATTTGGTAACGGATTAGATATGGCGGGGCAGGAGGAAGGAAGCTTCTGTGCTGCTTTGGGACTTTTCCATCGCACCTTCCTTCCCTAGGAAACTCGCCACTGGAGAATTTTATTCTCCTGCAAGATCGAATCAGCTTTGTTACTCACATCTCCTTTGCCCCTCGGTTTAGACTCTGACTTGAGGGCGGAGCCATGAGCTCCAGGGCCTCCATTTAAGAAGGGGGCCTAACAGATTTCTCCTAATTTCCCACCAGCTACATTGCGTTTGGACTTCTTTGGATTTCTCCATCGTGTCCCATTCCTGGTAATTTCTCCCCTCCATTTCTCCTCCCCTTACAGCTTACTTTTGTATTGCCCCCTCCCATTAGATTATAAGCACCTTGAGGACAGAGACTGTCTTTCTTTTTATTTGTATTCATATTCCCAGTAGTTAGCACAGTGCCTGGCACGTAGCAGGTGCTAAAGAAATGTTTATTAAATGACCAAAGAGTAAAAAAAAAAAAAACAAAACCTCCAAGGTTCCAAACACAGGAGACTTGGCAAATGGTGGTGGCAATCCTTTACTAAGCATTTCTTTAAGCACCTACTATGTGCCAGGCACTATGCTAGTTTTGAGGGATATAAATACAAAAGAAAGAGAGTCCTTACCCTCAAGTCTCTAAGGATATATGACATGTTCACAGATAAGTAAATAAGGAAATATACAATGATTAGGAGGAGGAGTGGAGCAGTAGCAATTAAGGGAATCTGGAAAGGTCTCTTGAAGGAAATGGCACCTTGGAGGGTGCCAGTTGTACCAGGAATCCAAGGTTAGGAAGGAGAACCTTCCAGGAACAGGGGGAAGGCACCCAGTATAAAGGCAAGAGATAAGATGGAGTGATAGGTAAGGGCAAAAGCAAATAACAGTGAAGACAACAACTAACATTTATATAACACTGTGTGTGCCACGCACTGTGCTTGAGAGCTTTACAATTATGATTTCATTTGATCCTCACAACAACCCTGGGAAGTGGGTGCTATTATTATCCTCATTTTACAGATGAGAAAACTAAGGCACACAAAGGTTAAGTGACTTGCCTAGGGAAACACAGAACTAGTAAGTATCTGAGGCTGGATTTGAAACTCAGGCCTTCCTGAGGCCAAGCGCTCTCTCCACTGCGCCACCTGGAAAACAGTACATAGTAGGCCAGTTTGGCTGGACTGCAGTATGTATGGTGGAAGAGAGAGGAGTATTTTGTGTGTGTGTGTGTATGTGAGAGAGAGAGAGAGAGAGAGAGAGATTGGCCTGGAATCTGGAGTCAGATTATGAAGGGTTTTAAATGCCAAACAGAAGAGTTTATATTTTATCCTAAAGGCAATTGAGAATTGCTGGATTTCTTGAGTGATTAGTGACATGTTCAGACCTGTGCTTTAAGAATATCAGTTTGGCAGCTTTGTGAAGCATGAATTGGATGGAGAAGAGAATAGATGCAGGAAGAGCAATGAGGAGGCCATTGCAGTAGTCCAGGCTGGAGGCTGATGGTGGCACAGACAGAAATGTCAGAAGCAGGAGCAAATTGGAAAGAGATTAAGCTAAGCTTTGGATGTGATGAGTTTGGAGGTTAATTCTAAGAAATCCAGATGAAGATGTCCTATAGGAAACTATTCCTAAAACACAGAAAACTATGTTCTATGTATGTTTCATAGGAAATAAAGATCTGGATTGATTTCAGAAGGGAAGTCAGGGTTGGAGTTTAGATTTGGGAGACATATGCAGAGAGGTGGTAATTGAAGATGTGGGGATGAAAGATATTGCTAAGGGAGAGAGTGTGGGAAGAGACGAGTTGGAAGGACAGACCCCTGGAAAATGCCCACATTAAAAAACTGGGGAAAGGATGGGAAGTCAGTGAAGGAAAGAAAGGCAGAATGGCTAGAAAGGCAGATGAGATGTAATTCTTCTGGGGAGACTCTATGATGCCATTGGTGTCTCATGGAAAGGTGTCTCATGAGGGTCTAATAGAAAAGCTCTTTCAAATCCTTCAGTAAAGGAATAGTAGGTGATTAGCGATTAGCACCTGTTTTTTTGGTGAACCTAGAAGGGGAATAAATAAAGTTATATTGCAGAAAAAGAAATTTGTTCTATTTCAGAAAAGATTAGAACTGAAAGGGAACTTAGTGATTAGTCTAAATTTCTCATTTAAAAGATGATGAAGAGCACCAGCCCAGGAGTCAGGAGGACCTGAGTTCAAATCTGGCCTGAGACACTTGCTAGCTCTGTGACCCTGGGCAAGTCACTTAACCCCAATGGCCTCAAAAACAAAAGATGATGAAACATCCAGGGGGAGGAATGACTTGTCCAGGGTCACAAGGCTAGTTAGAGGCAGAACCAGATGCCCTAACTCCCTGCTTTTCTATTAAAATACCACAATATCAAAGGAAACTTTAGAACAGAGGTTCTTAACCTGGGGTCTGTAACCTAGCTTTTTAAAAATTAGATAACCATTTCAACATAATTGGTTTACTTTGTAATCCTATGTACTTTAATTTATGTGTTTTAAAACATTATCCTGGGGGGGGTGGTCCATAGGGTTGACCAATCGGCCAAAGGCCATGACATAAAAAAGGCTAAAAAAAACCCTTTTTTGTATGGAGATTTTTCTAAAAGTCTCCAAAGGGAATGGATTGGAAGACTTTTAAAATTCTTTTATACTATCATCAGTTCCTTTCCAGAATTTTTCTTACCTGCAATACTGCATCTTTCCCACCAGGTGTCACCCCCTCACCAACATCAGAAGGCTGGCTCAGTTCAAAATCTCCATTCTGTGCTAGGCAAGGCGGATCGCTCAAGCCATTACTTGGTAGGGAATGGAGGGGAGCCCAGAGTGTCTGGGAGGTAAGATTGGGCCATAGTACTCTTTGACAAGATGGCTTGAGCAGCCTACTTAAGGACTGTTTCCTCCCTGGTCAGAACTGGGGAAATGAAGGAGTTTTTTTTTTTCTTTTTTTTTTCTTTCTGTGGGCAGTGGGCATCTTTTAGGAGGAAATTCACTAAATTTAAGAAGTCAGTTGCCAAGTTAGCAGACCATTAGGAGGTTGGGGGCAGGAGTTGGAGGACGCATAGCCAGAGAAAGTTAGAAAGGAAGAACTCATGGAGGGATGTTTCGAAAACTTGTTGGACTTCAAGATCTTTTGTGGGTTTTGAATAAAAAGCTATCTGAGAAAGACTCCCAGGAATGCCTCTGGGACCCTTGGATGGTCATTCAGTCCAACCCTAGATTGACGTAAGGGGTCCCCAGAGAAACACAAGAACTGTCTCGAGGCTGTTCTGGGTGGGGCATCTCTTTAGCAGAGGGACCAGAGAGCCTGACAGCTGGGTCACTGACAGTTCTAGAGGACCAGTGGAGCCCCAGTACTAACCGTGACTATGCTCACTTTTACTGGTAGAAGAGCCTAGTTCTAGAGAGATGTCATGCCCTACAATGCAGATGAATAACTACACCTTTCTCACATTTCTTCCCTTGCTTTACCTATAGGCAATCAGGCATCACTCCCAGGCGCTCGCTCAGTGTAGATGATATCGGTGTCCCCAACCTGGTCCGGACGGTGGGTCGGATAGTAGAGGTATTTCCAGATGGGACCAGCCAGTTGGAGCTACAACGTCCCCCGAATGGTACCTTTGGCTTCTGTGTGTCCTCAGGGAATGGCCGACCTGATTCAGGTAATTCTTTCCTGGTATGCAGAGTACCCAGAGAAGTCTCTGGGAGCCAGCAATCCATGGGGGTTACTGGTGCAATGCCCGTAAGTAATCCCAGCTTCTGGGGAGGCTGAGGCTGGTCAGTCTCTTGAGTTTAGGAGTTCTGCTTCAGTGGGCTAAGACGATCAGGTGTTTGTATGAAGGTCTTCATTGATACGGTCAGCTCCTGGAATAGAGAGCCACCAGATTGCCCAGGGTGGGGCAAAATAAATCCACCCTGGTCAGAAACACAGCAGGTCAAAGCTCTCAAACTAATTAAAGGGAGATTAGGGCTTTATGAGTAAACAATGCGCTACCGGCCAAAGTGATGTGAGGAGAAAGAAGGGGGAAGGGGAAGAGAGGGAGGGAGGGAGAGAGACGAGAGACAGAGAGGAAAGAGAGGAGGGGGAAAGGGGAGGAGAGGGAGGGGAAAGGAGCGAGAGAGAGAGACAGAAAGACAGACAGAAGCGGGGCAGGGGGAAGAGGTTTGAGAAAGCTCATTTTTAGGCAGTACTGATGGGGTGCTTAGGTGCTTGCGTTTGGGTGCTTGTACTTGGACCCCAATTTCTCCCTAGTCCCAGAAACACTGTCTCTGACAATTTCTTCCCAGCCCAAGGACACTGTGCCTAGCAATTACTCATGAGTGGGCCCCAGCAAGACCATTTTTTTCTCTCCCTGGTGCAGTTACAAACAGCACCTGAAGGAACTATTAGTTTGAACTGGCTTTGCACTGGGACATAAAGATATTCTTACCCACTGGACTATCTATACTACCGCCCTGCCTCATTATCTACATCCTGCACTCTTCATTATCTGTATTCTAGACCTAAGACATATGTATACTCCCTACATCTATCTTGTCAAACAAGACATTGACTGGTGGCAGATTGGACAACTCTCAGTTACCCCTGAACTCTAGTTAACTTAGTGACATAGCAGGCCTAAAATCACACCTCCATGTGGCCCCCCCTTGTGGGCTTTTCCTAGTGAACTCTGGGTAAAATGCCTGTGCAATAGGTACAAGAAGTGCATGTTCCTTTAAGAACTGACCACTCCTTAACCATTCCCTAATCCCGCCGTGAATCACCTAGTTAGCATATTTGACACGTGTTTTATTATATTTTGTACTATATAAACTTTAACTGTACTCCTTTAAGATCGCAGGTTCCTTAAGAATCCTTGCCTGCTGAAAAATAAACTTTTTGCCAGAATGCTGGCGTCTGTGAATTCATTCCAGACGACCCCGTCCTGTTCTCCAGTCTTTGAGGGGTCTCAACCTCTCAGATTGCAACAGTATGGATTCAGGACCTTTTATTCAAAAGGTCAAGATTTTCACCTTTGTTGGATCTCCCTACACAGTTACCACACCATTTGTAGCCTTTACCTCCCCTTACCAATCTCACTTCTGAGGACCATTTCAGGTTTGTTAGTTTCTGTTTCTGTTTGAAAAGCTTAGCTAGTTTAACTTCATTGGGGAACAAGTTGAAACAGTAAAAGACTGAGGGAGGCCAGTGTCAAAGCTGGAGGTAGGATGTGATCCCAAAGTACCAGAGGCTTCAAGCTAATGATTCACAATTCACGTGCCTTCAGGTGTTGATAGTATCTTGAAATCAGGTTCTTAAAATCCTTCCTTTGGGAATGTAGCCAGAGTTAAATGTTTGTGCTCTGAGGCTATCGTTAAAGTGAAGCACTATGATGCCTTTGGGATGTGGTCTCAATATTTTCCTCCTCGTTTCTGTTGCCTGTGCCTAAATCTGTGGCTAGCTTCCTCTCCGTGCTCCCTGAGTCCTCCCATGCCTGTTCATGGTGGTTTAATGCTTCATTCACAGGCTGCCCTAGACGTGTGACCTGGAAGATTGCCCCCTGTCGTGTCTTGTCTGAGGCTTGTCTGAGATGGGCGAGAGAGTGGCCGGTCATTTGGTGTGTGTGTGGGTGTGGGCGACTTTCTCAGTGTGCCTCCAAAATGCTTGGTGAGCTGGAGGAGAATTGGGGCATGGTCCTTTGGGGATGGAATGTTTTACCAAGAATCTATTTCAGAATCAATCTTGGCGCAAGTGGAAGTTGGAAAATGAGTAATAAGCAAACTGGCCCCAAGTGTCAGGGAGAGTACAGCCTATTACTGCCGAGGTCTGCTCCCATTGACTGATGGACCTCCATTTCACTGAAAAAAAAAAATCCCAATTTCCTCCTCAATCTGCATTTTGTTCACAAATCACCTCAGGCTAAGTTTGTATTTTTAAAATACTTCAATCACACTAGAAGAAGCCTGGCAAAATCAAGAAGTCTTAGACATAGTATCATAGGATGGGATATCCTACTTACTTTCCAGATCCAACTCTTGCTTTCAGAGTGGAGTTCATTTCAGTCAGTCAATTAATAAGCCATTATTAAGTGCTTACTGTGTACCAGACAGTACCAGACATTGCTAAATTTGGGAAGAGGGAAGATTCAAAGAAAAAAAATCTTTGCCCTCAAGTAGCTTACATTCTAATATAACACAGACAACATATACATGAATCAGGAATACAATATATGTAGCCTGACTAACCTTAAAGCGGAAGTCAGGGGTAGGAAGGGACTTGGAAAGGCTTTCCGGAGGAGAGGGGCTGGAGCTGAGTCCTAAAGGAATGCAGGTATCCACAGAGGCAGAAGTTAGGAGGGAGAGAATATTCGAGGTGAGGGGGACTGCCAGCGCAAAGACCCAGAGTCTGAGGCAGGAGACAGTGTTGTGTGTGAGGAACGGAAGGTAGAACACGATGGCAAGGGGTACCATAGATTGCATGAATGGGAGTGATACATTAAAAGACTGGAAAGATAGGGCTGCTGTCCTTGGCCTCCTGAGCTCTGGGGTGTGTGTGTGTGTGTGTGTGTGTGTGTGTGTGTGTGTGTGTGTGTG